TTTTCTTGTTTATATAATTTTAATGCATCTTTCCTAAGAGTAGTTCTAGAAAAAAATTGTGCATTAGGATTATGTACAATTTTAATATAACGTTGCCAATTTCTTTGTTCAGGAAAACTTAGTGGTTGATCTAATGTGGCTATTAATCGTGCCATTTCCATACGATCAACTTGCGGATCGTATTTCCACGTGCTTAGACCGCCGGTTTGACGGTCAAACGATAATTGTGTTTGGCGGAGTTGATCTCCGCCTCCTTGCTTTTGAAGACACTTTTCAAAGTGCCTTCTTAAGTGTGTAGTGCCGTAAATAGTGTTACCTTGTAATTTCTCACCACAATATTTACATTGAGCTACGTATTTAATGTTACCGTTATTGTCAACGTCCTCGAATGTGTTGAAGTGCTCCCAAACTGCTGAGGTGCGCTTGCATTTCTTCTTAGAACTTGCAACACTTGCACTAGCACTACCGCTTGCCTCTCCTGCACGGCCACTTGTGCCACCACCATTGCGTCCCCGACCTCTAGTACGTCCACCAGGGATCGGATTTGCAGTTTGATCAGCATCTCTTTCCATAGCTTGCGATTCTTGCAATTGAAAAACATTAGGAAATTGCCCTTCTTCGATGTTGAATTGTGCATCAATAGGAATATCACCACCACCACCATAACCAGAAGAAGCCATTATGAAAAATAAGAGAGATTGAGAGCGCTTTGAGAGAGCTTAAGAGAGATCGAGATTCGAGAGAGATTTAAGCGAGATTAAGAGAGATTTGAGAGAGATTAAGAGAAATTGAGAGAGATTAAGAGAAATTGAGAGAGAATGAGAGTTTTGGGGTGAGGAGAATGGTTGGGGGAGGGGGGTATTTATAGGAAAATTTTTGGGTTGAAAAAAAAATTTTTCCCCTAAAAATTCGGGTCCAATGGCTACAAATTTTTCGGGCAGGTCGGGCAAAATTCGGGCAGCTCGGGCAACGGATAAAAATCTGACCGTTTGGTTCAAAAATTCGGGCAAAATTCGGGTTCGGGCAACAGGCCGTTTTTTCAAAATTCGGGCCTTTTTCGGGCTAACGGTAAAAAAAAATCGGGCATTTTTCGGGCAACGGTCACCAAATTCGGGCAATGGTCACAAAAAATTCAGGTAATTCGGGCAGCTTCGGGTATTTGCCGGAAAATTCAAAAAAAATCCGGCGAACGGCGGGGGAAGGCTTCTCCACGGCGGCGGGCTGTCGGGGGGCTTACCATTTCGGGTTACCCGAGCCCGTGCCTGAAGAAAATCATTTTCGGGCGGCGAGACGGGCCTGCCCGCCGTGCCCGAAAATTTTCGGGCATCGGGCATGCCCGCCGCCCGAAAGTCCAACACTGCTCTTGTATGTACATATATATAACGAAAAGTAAACAATATTACATAATATACAGACTTTTTTAGTGGATCTTTAAAGAAATATGTATATATATGTGTGTATATATTAAAAACTCTTTAACTCTGTGATATAACAATCTTCCTGCGGGTAAAAAACTAGTTTATAAACGATAAGTCGTTAATTCCTCATACGATGAAGAAAGACGTATCGTTTACGCAGTCATTTTTCCTGAGAACAAGTCAACTTTTGTCCTTTTCGTTTTAAAATGATGTCGTTTGTAATTAGATTGCGGTCGTCTTATTTCGAAGTTTGTAAACGACATTCACGTTCTCGCTTCACTAAACCAATGACGCACAATATATTGCGTGGCATAGTCTAATTGGCAAATAGTTGTCATCAGATCAATAAAATTCAATAATTATAATCAGATCAAAATACTTTCCTTAATCCTCACACAGTAAACCATTCTTTACATAATAAAAAAATAAAAATAACTAACAAAAAAGAGAAAAAAAAGTCCCAAAAAAATAAATAAATAAAACAAAAAAAGGAAAAAAGAAAGGGAGAGAACCAAGTTTTTTTATTTATTTTTAAATAGTCTTTCGAGACAGGGATTTATCATTAATTCTTAGAGTCCGTTTAATTTGTTGATTCGAATTTTTAACTCGAGTTGAGATGTGATTTTATGTGAGTGCTTTTTACTGTAGTAAAAAAGTTAAATATGATTATTTTTAAGAGTTTTTTATTATAATAAAACTCAAATTCTAAACTCGAATTAGCGAAATGAACGAGGCCTTAATAAACCTTTTTTCCCCTAAAAAAGAAAGAAAATCTCAAACCAAATCACAAAAAAGAAATCATTTTAAATAAGAATAAGAAATATATAAAAAAAGAAAAAAAAACCACAACTGAATGAAAATGAAATAGAAATCTCGTCCGTCATTTCCAGTACTCGCGCTCAGACGACGACGACGACGACGACGACAAAGAAGAAGAATCAGAGCGCGAAGAACCCCGAATCATATTATTGCCTGGGTTCATCATCATCTTCTTCTCTCTCTTTCTTATATACGATCATCAAAACTCGTAATCTACTTTCCAAATCAAAATTCTTCAGATCTTCGATTTATCGGAAACGAAAAAGGTATTACACAAATTAATATCTTTTTTAATTTGGACTAATCTTTTGCTAGGATAGAAGAATTTGACGAGTGTTCTGGTTTTGTTGGTTTATTGATTTTGGTTGGTTGATTGGATTTGGTGACTTTTAGCGCTTTCTAATTTGAACCTTTGCTTCTTTTCTGTTTGTTTGTTTGTTTTTTTTTGTCTGGATCGTGGATTGGTGAATTGATTTGATGAACAGAAGGGATATATTGAAGGATATTGGGGATCTGGGTTTTTTGATTTGATTGATATTTGATCAAATGGCTACGAATGTGCCTCCTTCAGGGGCACCTAGGCCCGTCAGTAATAACCTAGTACCGCCTCCGAATTATATTCCCAATGTTCAGAGAACACCCGATTCCTTGGCTGATAATTTGCAGAATTTGAATCTAAATCGACCACCTTCCATGCCCAATTCTGCCCCTAGACCCAGCCCTTTTGGCCAGCCACCGCCTTTCGCTTCGTCCCCCCCTTCCCAGGGGATCCCCGGTGCTCCACCGCCTTTTGCTCGGCCGGGTGTCCCTCCTGGTGCGCTTGGAAGACCCGTGGTGCCACCCTCAGGACCACCATTGGGGACTTTTCCGTCTGGAGGAGCACTGGTAAGACCTGCTGGGCCACCTGTTGCCCAACCTTCGCCTTTCGCTTCACGACCACCTCCCGGGACTTTGCCCCCTTCAATAGGCGGTTATGTGCCGCCTGGTTCTGGACCATTTCCTTCCGGAGTTTCACAGTCATCCGGTTTCCTGAGTTGTCCAGTAGCTCCGCCACCAGTGGCACCAGGTGCGCAGCCTACTCCCATCTCTTCACCTTTGGCTACTGGTCAGGTTTTGCAGCCTCCTAGGGCGCCAGGTGGATTGATGAGTAACGGTTCACCATCCTTTGCTTCAGCAGCCGTGCCTGCTGCTCCCCGTTTTCCACGAGCTGGAAATGCTCTACAGCCTCCGCTTGGGCCTTCATTGACGACGGTGTCTTTGGCTCCTCATCGAGCTCCAAGCATGGGCACTGATCTGGGTGGTTCTCCACCAGGTGTTCCTATGCAACCCACATCACCATTTTCACCTGCAGCTCAGGGCACATTGCCACCAACAGGTCCTCCTTTTGGCTCTCCAACGTGGCCAATGCAACCTGGGCAGGTATGCCAACATGTTTCCTGGTTTTACAAGCGATTACTGTTGAAGCATTGAATTATTGTGCATCATATCATTGTTTACGTGATTTGCATTGATCATATCGTTTTTTATTATCATTGTTAAAGATTCTGCCACAATGTTGGATGAAATGCTTTAGAGGTTTCTGAGCCATAGGACTCTTGTATTTATAAAACTTATGCTGATTCTCTTTTATTTTCAACTCATAGGTTTACCCAAAAGCTATATTCCCATCAATGTTGTTATTAATTTATTTATAAACTTATAATTCCTGGTTAAGATGATGATGACGCTACTGAATACTGATTTTGGAGGAATAAATGTTGATGAAACCTTTTTTTCAATTCTTTAGGTGGCGCCACCTCCATCAGTTCCTGGTACTGTACAACCACCTAGAATGTTTGGAATGCCACCCCCACCATTACCAAATCAGTCCATTGCAACTATTGGTCAAACAGGTGCACCTGTGGCCGGGTCATCGAAGATTGATCCTAATCAAATCCCGAGGCCCTTGCCAAGTTCTTCAGTTACTGTGCATGCAACTCGTCAGGGCAACCAGGCCAATTCTCCTCCGGTGATCATCCAATCCATAAGCTTTAAGAAGAAGTTATTACTTTGTTGTGAAAATCTAGTATCTAGTCATATTTTCTTGTGATTACTTTTATCCTTGATGTGAAGTAATGCTGACCTAGTGGTGCACCTTGCTCTTTTTTCTTTTTTGCAAAGCACCTTTGGTAATTGAAAACATTGAATTGGTACCTTCAAATGTCCATTTGTATCAGAATGGTACCCCGGGCGTAATTGAGGTGATGTTTACTATCCAAATTGTTGGAATTGCTCTTTGTCAATTTGAGATATTACTATCCATTTCCAAGCTATTACTCGAGTCTTGAGATAACCATGCAATTTTGTCAATTTGTATCGTAAATGCCACCTAAATTACTCCATGGGGTACTACAGTGAAACATTGCAGTGAAAGGGTAAATTCAATGTTTTTCATCATCAAGGCTCCCTTGTGATAAAAAAGGAAAAAAAAAAAAGTTAGTGTACGAATATGATAATTTCTCATTTTATTTTTTATGCTCCTCTGACTGCTTTTAATTTTCTTGAAGCCTGCTACATGTGATTACATTGTTAAAGACACCGGGAATTGCAGTCCACGTTACATGAGGTGCACCGTCAATCAGGTTAGTTTTCACCTTGCATTGTACGACAGTGACGTTTGCAAATCTCTAATCTAGACTTTTTTGGAGCTGTTATTGTTTTTCTGTTAATTTGGTAATTCTTGTTTCCCTAAAATTTGACAGATACCATGCACTGCTGACCTTTTAAATACATCAGGGATGCCTTTAGCTTTGTTGGTCCAACCTCTTGCCCTTCCTCATCCATCAGAGGAGCCAATACAAGTAAATTCTTTTCCTCCTATAAATGACATATGTTCACAGATAGATTAACCTGTTATTTCTCTATTATTTCCATACAGTTGATTAACTTGCGTTTCAAGGATGAGTAAATCTCAGCATATACATGATCCAAAACTTTAGTCCTAATTTTTGTGTTCTTTTTGCTCAAAAGTCAGAATGAATGAAGGTCTGACTTGTTCAAAACTTCTAATAAGAGATACTTTCTTCTACCTAGTTTCTTGGACTATGTGCGGTGTTGAATTTCCATTTTCTGAATGGTTTCCTGCTCCGTTTTCAATAGGTACTGCTCTCTCTCTCTCTCTCTCTCTCTCTCTCTCTTGGTGGATTGCCATAGCTTTTAATAAAAACAATGCATAGTGGATCTCACTATTCCTTCATGGCATTGCATTTATGAAATTCCTTGAATCAATCATACGCGTCCAATTACTACTTGTTAACTGCTGAAAACAGCTCCTTGGAGGTGTGATATGCGTGGTGTACTGCACTGTGGAAGTTTTGTAAAATGTATAATGGTCTTCACTGAATTTCTGAACCTGCTGTTAGTGACCCAATGATTTGTGAGGGGGCAATGGCATCATATACTGTGACCCATTATTTAAAGTATTCTCCCTTCTTTGCTTTTTATGGGCTTGGGCAGAATAAACTAAAGGAGTCTATTGTGCGTGTATTTATGTTGGCTATAATGAAAAAAGATTATCATGATTTTAGGTTGTGATGATTGCAAAGAGTGTCTCCTTTGAAAACTATGATTACTTTTTTGGGGGAATGAGGGAAGCCATCAAGTATCAAATTTAGACTAACGTAAACAAGGGAGGAAAAGCATAAGTAAATTCTTTTACAAGGACGAGCTCTTTCGAGAGCAGAAGTAATAAATCTAGTTTGGGAAAGCATTTATGTAAAACTAATTCTAACTATTTCTGACTTTCTGGAAGCATGTATGTGGATCAACTCCATAAAGTTCAAATGAATGAATTTGAATCATAATGTTCTCAGTTAGTCACTTCAACCTGTGAAGAAATTTTGTTGCTGCAGAAAGATTATTTATGTGATCTGCTGTGGGCGTTCTTTAATGGAATTTTTTTTCCCTTCATTTGTTCTTTTGGGTAAATTCTTTAATGGAATCTTTGGTCATTGAATTTTTTTTGATTGACAATGGAGGATTGGTTCCTTTTTCAAGGTCTAGAGACCACGTTTAGTCTTTCTATGCTGCTTGTTTGATGGTTTAGTGTTATTTGCTTGCATCTCTTACGTATTCTCCAATTTAATTTCCAACTTATTTTAGTTTTATCTGTTAAAGAATGAAAGTTGATCACAAAACTTTTGGCATTGGGACACTCCCTTATAGTGATTCTGATAACGTCATTTTGTGTGTATTTTCTATTAATGCCCAATTGATTATACTGATGCAATTGAAAAGGAGACTAGCTGTAAGTATATTCATAATATTTTGTGTCATAGGTTGTGGATTTCGGTGAAAGTGGTCCAGTTCGCTGTTCTCGTTGCAAAGGCTACATAAATCCTTTCATGAAATTCATTGACCAGGGAAGGCGATTCATCTGCAACCTATGCGGTAAGTACAAGTTTATACTTATCTTTATACCTTTGTGTTAGTATATATGTAGCACACTGTACAGTGAAGGCTGAAGCACAGAAGTCATTATTTCAACTTCATCATTACGCATTTAGCTCGTCTACCACAAACGTACATACTGATATTTAGATATTTATGCATGTATTGGTTTAACGAGGACTAACATCCAATCCCATTCCCTGTTGCAGGATTTACTGATGAGACTCCCCGTTACTACCACTGCAATCTAGGACCAGATGGTAGGCGTCGAGATGCTGATGAAAGGCCTGAGCTGTGTAGAGGGACAGTTGAATTCGTTGCAACAAAAGAGTACATGGTTAGTATTGTAAGAAGATGAAGTTTAATTTCTATTTTTTTTTCCTTGGTGCACTTTCTTCATCCCATTTAGATTTTATTACATGTTTCAGTTGACTCTTGTCTTCTTTTTATTCTCTTTTGACCCCTGGGTACTCTGCGTGGTTTGCAGAATTATCACGCTCCTCTATAAGTACATTGCTGAAGCATGAAATAAAATATGGCCATTATTTATTGCAGGCTATCTGGAAAGATGAAATTTCTATAGTATGCATATAAAGTGCAATAAAAGAGAAGTTATGAGAAGAACGAAAGGAAACAAAAAAAGATACTAGTATTAACTTCTATCTTATTTATTTATTTATTTATTTTATTGTTCTCATGTACATATTAACTTCTAGTGTAAGTTTTCCCAATTCTCTTTGAAAGGTCAAGTTATTCTTCCAAGAAGTTTCTTTCTCAACTTGGTCTTACCGTCGGTTATTAGTATCAATAATTACTAGTTTGATCTCTCACACACACACATGTATAGTTATGTTTTTTAATTATTTTTTTATAGTAACATATTGTTCCTGTTTAATTTTAGTAATTTGTACCTCCTTTCATTTTCATTTCTCTGTTACCTCAAGCCAATGATTTATTTTGTTCCAGGTGCGGGATCCCATGCCGGCTGTCTACTTTTTTCTCATTGATGTATCCATGAATGCAGTTCAAACTGGTGCAACAGCTGCAGCTTGCAGTGGAATCAATCAAGTTATTGCTGATCTCCCTGTGAGTTTCTTTTGAAAATAGCCTTGCAGTAGCTATCTGAGAATATTAGATTCATGTTTCAATAATAATGTTCGTTACATATATGCTTGGACGTGTTTGTATATTCTTTTTGATGGCATAAAGTGTACTGATATCTTGTTACTTCAATTGATGCAGGAAAGTCCTCGAACATCTGTGGGAGTTGCAACCTTTGACTCAACCATCCATTTTTACAATTTGAAACGCGCACTACAGCAGGTCCCATACAAGTTATATTTATTTTGTCTAAAGAACGTTGGGGATGTTCCTTTCTATTGTTGGATTGGAAGGAACTGTTTCGTAATAGTATTCAGGACTCTTTTTCACTTAGAAATATTAGCAATTTAGTATATAGATTTCCATTCCTGTCAACCAACATATATGCTTGTGAATTTTTTGTGCTTGTTGTGTGGTTTGGTAGAGTTGTTTTGGTACTAACAATGTTTCTGACATTCAATGCATGTTTGCAGCCGTTAATGCTAATAGTTCCTGACGTACAAGACGTATATACTCCGTTGCAGACAGATGTTCTTGTTCCTCTTTCTGAGGTAAATATCGAAGGCTTTCATTTTCTTTCCTTTCTTGTTTTATTATTGTTGCTATTTTGTTTTACTACTAAGGTTTTGCTGTTTTGAGGCAATATTTTTACAGTCAATAATGAGTTGCGTTTTATCTTATTGTTGTGAAATTTAGTGACTTTGACTCTTTTTCTTACCCTTTTTTTTGTGGGATCTAGTGTCGCCAACATTTAGAGTTATTGCTGGAAAGCATTCCAACCATGTTTCAAAATAGTAAAACCGCCGAATCAGCATTTGGTGCTGCAGTTAAGGTAATGCCTTTTTGATCAAGACATTCTGCATTCAGTTGTAGTACTTCACTTATGCAGTTGTACACTTGTACCTGGAAGCACATACATCAGAAGTTTTGTAGATATGAGTCATGACCATAGTTTCTTAGTTGTTAATTGTGGTGAGGAAGCTGTACTTCGTGATTTATTAAAGTTTTGGTTCTTTAAAAAAAAAAAAAAAAGGAATTGTGATAAGGAAGCTGTATCTCAACAACAGTGAGTTGTTTCCATAAAATCTTTCCTCTGCAACATGCCGTGCTAGGTTTGTTAAAGTAAGGAATAGGTTAAATTCATCCCTGACTTTGAGTGCTCATTTTGTTTGTAAAATGGTCATTAACTTGAAAGTCTTAGGTAGTGATGAAGCTAGAAATTTCTTTTGGGTGGGGGGAGGTCAAAATTTAAAACTAAAATTAGTAAAGTAATATATACTACAAATCTCACACGCTGGGGGGGGCTTAGTAATAAAAGAAGGGCAAAAATCATAATTATTTAAAACCACTTTAATGGGCTAGTTGGGCTTGGGGGGGCTTCAGCCCCCACTGGGCCTTAACTTGCTCTGTCCCTTGTCTTAGTTGAGTCTACTTGAGTTGTCTAATATTCGAATGTTCAATAACCATGGCATGTGATGCTAATGTTGGATGAATACTGATAACCAATAAACGAAAAACTGCGTGCATCACTTATTTTAGCTAAGATGTTCTTAAGATTTTCTTATTTATTTTTCTTTTGGGAGAGAGGAGAGGCAAATGTTCTGATAAATATTGGCTTTTCAGAGCTAGTATCTTGTCTATGAAATGGGTGTGGCAGTATTATTGTTGGGCTTTGGAGTTCGGTAGTTAATACGGTTTGACTTTTTGGGAGATTTGCATGGACACATTGTGACGTTTTGAACATGGCACTTGACGTTTGAGGTGTCTTTGTTGCTGACAGTTACTTGCTACACAAGTATAAATTATTCAACTAGAATGATGATATTTATAAGATACACATTTCTCTAACCAGCTACAATGTTCTGGAATACTGTTGTTTCATGTTTCACATGTTCTTAGAACATGGATTGATACTTGCATGTAGTGTTTGCTTAAGTGTTAATTTCCTTTCTGTCCTCCCTACGTTAGGCTGCTTTCCTGGCAATGAAGAGCACTGGAGGGAAGCTTATGGTATTTCAGTCAGGCAAGTATAGAAACTTATGCATGTGTAAATGAATATGTTCCTGTATGGAGGAAGGTGTGGTTAGTTTAACAACTAAGTTTCTCTGCATTGAGCAAGAACTTTGGGTTTTCAGAAGTCACACTCTTGCATGGTTTGTACTGGGCTATTAGCAGTGTCCGTGACATTTTCTAAAGAAACCAATTTCATACTTGAAGCCCACTTGTGGGTTTATCCTTATTTTCTTTCACAGGATTTTTGTTTCCTTGCCAATAGACTGATGATTTAAGTTATCTGCAAATGGCAGTTTTGCCGTCAACTGGCATCGGAGCCCTTTCTGCTAGAGAAGCTGAAGGAAAAGCTAATGTAGCTGCAGGAGAGAAGGTATATAAATCACGTCTTTTTTGCCTCTATAATGACATTTTTATAGCATAGCTGTATTCTAGTTAAACACCCAAAAACGTGCCAACATTGACTTAGGCATTGGCATTAGAGATCAATAATAACTGTAGAAGTAGGGATAAAAATTTGCAACAGTGGGAGCATCAACCACACTGGCAATAGGATGGGCACACAAACCGTTGTTTTTTAGGCATTATAAGTTATATATATGTGATGCGCAAACACTTGCTCTGTTCAAAAGTTAGACTAGTCATGATATTTGCATATTATTCATAATCCCTAACTTCTTTACAGGAGGCCCATAAATTACTCCAGCCAGTGGACAAAACTTTTAAGACAATGGCCATTGAGTTTGCTGAGTATCAGGTAAACTCCAGTAGATTCACCACTTGATGATAACTAAGATATGACTGAAGTTTGCCTGTATTTTCTTGTGGATATATTAACACTCGTTTTAAGTGGTAAGCGTGATTTTTATGGGCTATTTATGACGTTGCAGGTCTGTGTGGATATATTTATCACTGCTCAGACATACGTGGATGTTGCTTCTATCTCTGTCATCCCAAGAACAACCGGAGGGCAGGTACAGGACGATGATGTTACTTTTCTATTGGATTTTTGGTCAATGAGCTTTTGATTTGAGATGTTTATCCCTGCATTTTTCCAATTGTGTTGTTCTTTACCATGACGCAGCAAACAGTTACTCTGCCATTATTTAACATATATTTTTAGGTCATCCCCTGTGGCTCCATGTTAATTTTTACTGTGCTGAGACTGTCGGCTGATTATATATTTATTTATTTATCTATTTTAAAAAAAAATTTCCAAAGTCTTTAATATCAAAAATCTGCTTGACTACACCAAGCTTTATGTCCAGAGTTTCTTGTACTTTTTTACGTATATATTATGTAGGATCGATAGTTGGGATTAAGACTTGTTGTTGTTGTGTTGTATTATGTAGGATCGATCTCTTGCCATTCTCGTCTTTTGGAAAATATTGGCCATGTATGAAAATATTTTCTTCTCTAGTATTTCTTACTAGGTTTGAAGTTCACACGTTTTCCTTAATGTTCCAGGTTTATTACTATTACCCCTTCTCAGTTGTTTCTGATCCTGCAAAGCTATACAATGATCTTAGATGGAATGTTACAAGGCCCCAAGGTTTTGAAGCAGTTATGCGTGTCAGATGCAGCCAGGTATTCTTATGGGCTGGGTGATGAATTCTTATTTTTCCCACTTTATTAATGTTTCTAAGATTTAATCCGTACAAGAAGCTAATATTTCTTCCATATTTTTAGGGCATTCAAGTTCAAGAGTACTCTGGGAACTTCTGCAAACGAATTCCAACAGATGTTGACCTACCTGGGGTTAGTATATTTTCCACAAGTAGTTTGCTTAGAAATACTTCTTTTTGGGTTATTGTTCTCTATTTGCACTGCACTTTCCCCCTTATTCTTCTTGTCGTCCCACATCCCCTCATTCTCATCCCCTGCCTCTGTGCTGCTGCGTGTCCCCTATCCTTCTTTTCATTTCGCTCAGCCGGACCAAGTTTTGGCGTTTTTAACTGTTAGCTGAGATATTGAGGAAAATTCTCTCTCTGCAGATTGACTGTGATAAAAGTATACTGGTGACCTTGAAACACGATGATAAATTACAGGATGGTTCAGAATGTGCTTTTCAGGTAAAAGTTAAATGTTTACTTTGCCTTGCCTTTTTTTTTTTTTGAATAATATTTACTGTGCTTTAATCTCGAAATGAAGCTTCTCATTTTTCGACTGATCTCTCTATTTATTACTCAGTGTGCCCTTCTTTACACCACTGTTTATGGTCAACGGAGAATTCGAGTTACAACTTTGTCTCTGCCATGCACAAATATGCTTAGCTATCTATTTCGCTCAGCTGACTTGGACACTCAATTTACATGTTTCTTGAAGCAAGGTATGTGATCTTATATTGAATTTCTTGCTTCTCTCTTATTTAACTGCCTCTTTAATGTGGTAATGCTCCCAAATTCTGACAGTGCTTTTCCTTGTTTAATTTGTTTAAAAAAAAAATCTACATTTGAAGGGAGCATCTTGAAATTATAAATGGATTTTCGGAAGTAGTTTTTTTTCCATACATATTTGAGTTAGAGTGTGAATGCAAAATGTTCTCGCTTTATTAGCTGTAAGCCTTTTTTTAGTTAGTCACTGGCTTCATCATGGCTGGTTGGTAAGTGGTAACATATATAGACTTTCATTTGAAAGAATTTCTTAAGAGAAAATTTTCCTCCGTTTTTGGCTTCTGCAGCGGCAAATGAAATTCCTTTTAATCCACTCTCGCGAGTTCGGGAGCAGGTTACAAATCTCTGCATCAATAGTCTGCTTTCGTACCGTAAATTTTGTGCTACGCCATCATCGTCTGGACAGCTTATTCTTCCGGAGGCACTTAAGCTTCTCCCGCTGTACACCCTTGGTACGTCACTTTTCCCTGCACGAGTATAGTCTATTTATCTGCTGGCAAAATTACTGTAGAATCAACACCCCACCCCGATTATCAAAAATAAATTGGCCAGAGGTGGGTGGGGGTGGGGTTCGGGAACACTGGATACAGGACCATCAGTTTTGCCTTCCAGAACACTGTTACTGTTATTATTGGACATTTTCTATTACACACTTGAATTCAGAGAAATATCAGTTGGTCTATAAGAGTTCTTTGTGTGCATGAGTGGATTGATTTTGTTCTCTTATTTTTGGCAGCATTAATCAAAAGTATTGGGCTGCGCAATGATGCGAGGATAGATGACCGCTCCTTTTGGATTACTTATGTGTCCTTGCTTTCTACTACTCTGGCAATTCCTTTAGTGTACCCAAGGATGTTAGCTATTCATGAGCTTGATTCAAAGGTACACAGAGTGATGTCGTATGACTGATCAATCCTTTTTAAGATTGCTGTGCCTGAATCATTGCTAATTTTCTGCTGACAGGAGAGTGATGAATCCGTTCTTCCTCCGTTTGTTCCACTTTCTAGCGAACACATCAGTGACAAGTGTGTCTATCTTCTTGAGAATGGTGATGATTGTTTAATATACATTGGGAACACAGTGGATCCGGCAATCTTGAGACAACTTTTTGGTGTTTCTTCTGTTGATGAAGTTCCTACTCAGGTAGAGGATAATTTTCATTTGTACATTCTGCCTGATAATATATCTTGGGGTGGAACTCTTTGTAGTCCCTGGTTGAAGGGGTTTGCACAGCTTACCTTGTACTTGGATGCCCTTCTTGAATAGCCCATGTTAGTATATGTCCACAAATTGGTGTAGTTGTGATTGTGACTGTCCACTCCAGTGTCCAAAGTCCAAAGGCATAATATATCGTAGCCCGAATACAAGTTGTGTGCTAGATCCATTTTTACCGCTACTGTTGTATGATTTACCATTTCTCGGTGTCTTAAGAATGTAATTATTTATAGTACTGAAAGTCATGATTTATGTAAATAACTTGTCAAATGATTTTATTGCTGGGAGGGTTTCTAGTTATTCACCTTGTGAATTGTGACCTTTAAATTTTTTGGTTCTTAGTTGGTGTTGCATCAGTTTGACAATCCACTATCAAAGAGGCTGAATGATGTGATGAATGAAATACGGCGCCAAAGATGTTCCTATCTGCGGTATGAGTGCAAGATCTCTTCAGTTTCTCATATTCCTTGGAAAAATACACTCGTGCATCATAGTTTGTTCTTTCTTCCCATTACCGCTCTTCATACTGTCTTATTTCTGTGTAGCTTGAAAGTGTGCAAGAAAGGAGAGCCATCAGGTCAGTGCTTTCAAACTTGATTTGGTTACTGCCATGTGAAAATTATCGTATTAGTTATTTCTTCGTATAAAAGGATGATATTTCCAAAGTCGCATTACACAATTTCTTTTAACAACTTGAAGATCTGCTACATTTTTGATATCTCATCATGCTAAAGTTTCTGACCAGAGACCAGCAATTGTCGTGGTTATAAAAGATTGTTGTTTTCTTATGTTCATGTTATAGATAGAATAATTCTTGATCCACTAAGTTTACAATTGTTGTACTTTACGTTTCCACACTTTTCTCGTGGTCCCAGAAGCGTAATCTTAAATGTCCATTAAATGGTAATGAAGCTTAGGGAAGTCCATTGTTTCCGGTTCCATACTGTGATATTTGAGAAGACGGAATAACTTCATTATACAACAACAACAACAATAACAAGCCTTAATCCCAACTTAATTGGGGTCGGTTATATGGATTTAATTTTTCCACACGCTCTGTTCAAAATTATACTTTCCTGAAGGTCTAGATCGAGAATGTCTTACCTAACGATTTCGGTCCACGTAATTCTTAGTCTACCCCTCCCTCTCTTAGTATTAGGTATAAGAATGTCCTCCCAAGCACGGACTGGTGCTTCTAGCGGTCTACGTTGGACATGCCCGAACCACCTCAAGCGGCCTTCGCGTACCTTATCTTCTATTGGTGCTACACCTACTTTACTACGAATAGCTTCATTCCTTATGCGATCCATTCTGGTATGGCCACTCATCCATCTTAGCATACGTATTTTTGCCACACTCATCGTAGATTTATGTTGTCTTTTAATGGCCCAACATTCACTATCATATAATATAGTTGGGCGGATTACAGTCCTATAGAACTTTCCTTTTAACTTAATAGGCATCTTGCCATCACATAAAACTCCCGTTGCATTCTTCCACTTAACCCACCCTGCCTTAATTCTATGTTGAATATCCTCTTCTATATCTCATTCGTACTGCACTATAAATTCAAGGTACCTAAACTTCTTAGAAGCCCCAATCTTCATACCATCTAAAGAAATTCCATCACTCTAATTACTTGAGTTACTAAACCTACAATGCATGTATTCAGTTTTAGTCTTACTTAACTTAAATCCCTACATCTCGAGAGTCTGTCTTCACAGTTCTAACTTACGGTTATCTACTTCCTTATGTTCATCAACTAAAACTATATCATCCGCAAAAAGCATACCCCAAGGAATTCTATCTTAGATTTCTCTTGTTAGCTCATCCATCACGATGGTGAAAAGATAAGGACTAAGAGTAGATCCTTGATGAAGGCCGATCCGAATGGGGAACTCTGTCGTGTAGCCTCCAGCAGTCCTCACACTCGTGACCACCCCATCGTACATGTCCTTAATTACTTCAATATACCTCACATGCACTCCTATCTTTTCTAACACCTACCATAAAATTTCTCTCGGCACCCTATCTTATGCCTTTCTAAATCTATAAAGACCATATGTAGGTCCGTCTTAGCTTCTCTGTATCTTTCTATCAGCATCATAAGAAGAAAAATGGCTTCCGTGGTTGATCTGTCTGGCATGAAGCCAAATTGGTTACCTGAGATGGTAGTTGTGGCCCTTAATCTCCTTTCGATAACTCTCCCAAAGCTTCATAGTGTGGCTTATTAACTTTATGCCCCTATAATTGTTACAATTCATCACATCTCTTTTATTCTTGAAAATGAGGACAAGAATACTTTTCCTCTATGCATCAGGCATATGCTTCTTCTTTAGTATCTCATTAAAAAGCTTAGTGAGCCACACAATTTCAACATCTCCTAACGCCATCCAAACCTCTATTGGAATATCATCTGGCCCACATGTCTTCCCCTTTTTCATCTTCCGTAGTGCAGTTTTAACTTCCGAGACTTTGATTCCTCTTGTATACATCACATTAGGTTTTTCTTGTGACCTAAGATTGCCAAACTCTATTGCATGATCATCATTATAAAGCTTCTCAAAGTAACTCCTCCACCTTTCCCTAATGTCTTTATCTCTTGTCAGAACTTGATCCGTATCATCCTTAACACACCTTACTTGATTTAGGTCCTGACACTTCCTTTCTCTTATTTTAGCTAATTTATATATATCCTTCTCTAGTCCCAAGTTTCCTATATACCTCATCTAAGTAAGTAGAACGAGCCTTACCAACTGCTCGCTTAGCTTTTTTCTTCGCTTCTTTGTACTTATTAAAAGTTTCAACATCCTTATGCTTTGGTAAATCTCTATATAAATCCATCTTGGTCCTAATAGCTTTTTGAACTTCCTCACTCCACCACCAGATTTCTTTCCCAAGGGGGCCTTTACTTCTAGATTCTCCTAGTACCTCCTTTGCCACTTTTCTGATGCAGTTGGCCATGGCATCCCACATAGTATTTACATCACCTACATTTGACCAAGTAGCCTCATCTAACAACTTTTTAAAGGCCAATTGCTTTATTCCCTTCAAATGCCACCAACGAGTTCGTGGGAGGTGGTTTATCTTAATTCTTTTATAGCAAAGCTTAATGCTCACATATAAGATCACTAATCTATGTTGGGTGGCTAGTACTTCTCCAGGAATTACTTTACAATTCTTACATAAAGAACGATCTTTATGTCTGGTGAGAAAATAATCTATCTGGCTTAAGTTCCTTCAATTCTTAAAAGTTATCAAGTGAGAATCTCTTTTCTTGAAAAATGTGTTTGTTATGATAAAAATATGCCCTAATGCAAATTCTAAAATAGATTTCCCTTCTTCGTTTCAAGCTCCAAAACCAAAACCACCATGGATCCTTTCGAAGTTTCCCTATCCTTACCAACATGGCCATTGAAATCTCATCCAATGAAAATGCTATTCTCATTGCCTATACGACACACTAAGTCATCCATGTCTTCTCAGAACTTGACTTTAGTTTCCGCATCCAATCCTCTTTGTAGAGCGTAAGCACTAATTACATAGATGGACTTATTTTCTAGTACCAATTTGAGCATAATAATTCTATCCCCTATTCGTTTAATCTCAACTACGTCATCCTTCACAGTTTTGTCCACTAGAATACCAACTCCATTGCGATTCCTTTCTCAACCTGTATACCATAACTTGTGTCCTAAATTTTCAATCTCCTTTGCTTTCTCTCCTGTCCACTTCGTTTCCTGTAAGCATAAAATGTTAATTTTTCTTCTTACTATAACATCTACTAACTCCATAGATTTACTAGTTAAAGAACATACATTCAAACTACCTAAAACGAATTTTTCTATCATGGGCTAGCTCTGCCCCATGCACACGTTCATGAATGTGCAAGGACCCCCATTGCATATTTTTCATCATATTCGGGGCCCGACATGGTGCATGGGCTCGCTTTCCCCCCCGCACTCGTCCATGAATGTGCGAAGACCCCCCTTGCCTATTTAACACTATACCCGGGGCCCGGCATAGCGCGTCGCACGTAGGGAACGCTCTAACAGATTCTATGTGAGAGAAATCCATGAGAGTGACTTATTTTTAGGTTGGTCGTCGACTTACCGCAACCCTCCTTTACTCGGGCTTGGGACCGGCTATACAAACGCGTAGGCCGAGTTAATAACTTCATTATAGAGCTCCTTATTTGACGAAAAGAGAACTTCTCATCATTGGATCATTGTTTTTTTAATAGTCATCTTGGAAGTGCTTGTAGTAACAGTAATAAATTTGTGTTTGCAGGAATGTTGTTCTTCTCATATATGGTAGAAGACCAACATCCAAATGCCCAGTCCTACGTCGACTTTTTAGTACATGTGCATCGGCAAATTCAAATAAAAATGTCGTCATGAAAGTTAAGTTTGCTTCACAAGTTTTGATCAACTTTCAGCTAGAACACTTGCGGAATTCGAAGGAACAGTTTGTTTACTTGAACACATGCACTTGGGATCGTCCCGCATCAATTATTCACCTCTCAAGAATGCTGAGCAAAATTTTGCTGTTAGAGGCTTGTCATTGTAGTTCATATATATGATAATAATAAATCGGAAGTTTTTGTTTATTGTAATTTGTATTTACATTGTTGCTTTTTGTCCCCGTCTCTCCCTTCATCTCTAGTTTCCATCGATTATTAGGTTCCCATGTGAGAGACGAGAACACCCAAAAAGGAGGCAAAAATGTGTGATATGACTTAATAATGTTGTGGGAGAGAGAAATATATTAACAGGTTGATTGGTGTCCAAGTATACATGTAAGTTTTGTGCTACTCAATTATTGTAGCGTGTAGGAAGAATTTTTTTTCCCCCTTTTTTTTTCGGTACTATTCTTTTACAGTTAGATTTTTAGTTTGGTCTAATGCTTGAGATAATGGTGATTTAGTAGTTTTATTATATTATATTATATTATATTTTTACTTTTTGGTGGCAAGCTCTTGGCTTAGTAATTAGTATCATCTAATCTTGGTTTATGCTAGCAGTATAATTTGAAATGCTAAACTCTCATTTCATGATTGAGCTGTACTTGTCCTCTAATGTGGAAGGAATGGTAACAAGTCTATTATACCCGCACTCCTAAAATTTTCTATCTTCGTTGCACGTTATTTTCGAAACACAATGAAAAAAAAAAGCATATAGTAAACTTTTTATGATTTTATGAACAAGATAAAACTAAAATCGTCTTCATCTTTGCTGAGATACTGTTGTGTGGGGTTTTCTTTATTATTTTTTTTCTTCATTATCGACCATTTAGTTTGAAGTTTAAAAATCTGCGTAGTTCTCAATGATTTTCTATTTCCCTCAATCGATCTTCACTGTTAAAATTCCCAATCCTAGAGAAATCTTGTTTTTCAATTAGAAGCCCCAACTGTCGTTGACGCCGATCAGAAAACGACGACTATTTCCTTTCCCATAGAAATTTATGCAATTATGAATGTATTTAATCACGACTTTATAAATATTTAGAGTTTATAATTGTCACGCCCCTAAACCGGGGTTTGTGACGTGGAGGCTTGTTTAGAAACTTAAACCTGTTTAAGAGAGAGTGATTAGCAAACATTTTAATTTCTTTCAAATCCAAAACATCCAGGTATTTTCAAACGAGTCCTTTTTTTTTTTTTTCAAGAGGAATTCAATTTCGAGAACGGTGGTGGAATTTCCAACCAAACCAGTTTAAAATCACGTCCCTAGTATCAAGTCAGGAATTTTCACAGGTGTTTAGTATACATGAATATAAACATGAGTAAATATGACATCAACCACAGTCTAGTAATGTTTAAGTTTACAATCCATAATCTTTTATACATGAGTAAAAGATAAGAGGAAAGATAACTCTTCACTTTCTGAGGTTAAGTCCACGTCACGGTAGTAGCTACCTACTCCGCACTACTCCTCGCGTCGCCTGGAGGGGTTTAATACATTTGAAAACAAGAAAAGGTGAGCGAAAGGCCCAGTAGGATATAATTTTGTAAAGCATTTAAAATAAAGGTACTCATGGTCCGAAGATATACACCCGGAACCGGTCATCCCTTTTTAGAAAAGGAAATACTCACAGTAGAAAATATATGTATAATGAAAGTGTGCAGCTCATCATACCACTAAACAAGAAGCGGTAAAAATGTCTGTCTATGAAAAGTGCAGAGCCATTGTTCCACTAAACAAGAAGTGGATCTGTACGGGTTTCGGAACCTGCCCCCAAGGATGCGATTCCCACATCCCGATCTCTGTGGCCACCATGCGTTGTATCATTCCTTAAATATTTCATTTTAAGAAATGATACTCTTTAAAATCTCATTTCCAAAATCATTGGAAAACTTAATAGCATTATTCATGCTATTTTCTTTAAAATCATTTTCTTTCAACATGTTTTGTTCTAAAACATTTTCATTGGCTAAAACCATTTAAAGTAAGGCTAACAAGGATATGGACAAGAATATCCTACCTGTTGGATATCAAACCTGGTTTAGCTTTCCGTTCTCCTAGCCTCCGCTTTCCTTTGAGGCTCCAATTCTCGTTTAATTAGATGCAATTGTATCATATTAGTGTGCCATAGTTCAAAATCAATGTTCATAAATAATTCTTAATTCAAATCATGATTCTTTGTAGATAGAGATTCATTACGGAAAATCGAATGGGAAACAAGGATTCATGTGGCTAATCCACTCATTTTGAGTTCTCAAATGAGGTTAGGTCAATCCCACATCGAGTTTCGGGGTCAAAACAGGATTTCTAGGCTGTTTAGGGTCGGTTTCAGTGGGAACCGGTCGACCGGTGACAGAGGAGTGTAACTCCACCGGTCAGCCGGTGGAGAGGTGACCGGTCGACCGGATCGGTCGACCTATGGAAGAGTGACCGATCGATCGGACCGGTCAACCGGTGGGAAAAAATTTCAAGGCCAATAATGGCCGATTCGCGAGGAACAAAGCCAAAACCTGCAATTTTGGGTCTAATTTCGACATATTCTCAAGGGAAATGTATAGATCCAGTTTTAAATCAACAAATGGGGTCCAAAGAATCAAAAACTCCCAATTTTCATCAAGGTTTCACCAAATCCCATTCGGATTCCATTTGAAAACAAAATTTAAACCAAAAATCACTAAACTCGACTAAAACGAGTTCCAACAAGCTAAATCTAAAAATCTAAAGTAAGTTTCAAAGAGTTTTACCTCGATCCAAGCTTTGATGTTGAAAACCTCTTAGAAATCTCCGTTTTTGGTTTAAATCCGGCCCTTGAGAAAGGAAACTTTGAGAGAGAGAGAGAGGGAGAGTTGAACGGGAGAGGGAGAGAGAGAGAGAGAGAGAGAGAGAGAGAGAGCTCAGGAGATTGAGAGAGGGAAAGAAAGAGAGTGTGTCGAGACAGAGAGAGAGAGAGGGAGAGTAACGGGAAAGAGAGAGAATAACGTGAGGAAGGGAAAGGAAAGAAGAAGAAAAAAAAAAAAGAAATAAGGAAAAGTAAATAAAATTAATAGGGGTGAAATTACAAATACTAAAATAAATTTAAAAGTTCATGATTAATTAAGAAAATCAATTTAGGCACACCAATAAACCACAATTATCATAATTAAACAAGTTTAATTTCAGAGGGCGTTACAATAATTTTGTATGTTAATGCGATCTTGAAGAGTTTAATTTTGATTAGGATATATAATATATTTGTAAAGACTTGTATTGTTAACGCATTATGATTTTAACATTGGAATTTTGGATACTATGTTATTTGAATAGTGTGTATGAGAACATGACTTCAACGCAACATGAGAACATGACTTCAACGCAACAGATGTGGTTGAAAGTATCTCTGTAGTTTTTAATAATTTGTAACAAGTCCTAGCTAAAACATACAATAAAATGGGGATAAACAAATGTTCGATAAATTAATAACTTTATTAAATGATAAAATCTTCCGTCCTCAACTTGGGCCAAACTAAATTAATAATCTCACTAAATTAATGTTGATGATGACGACGATGATGATTATGATGACGACGACGACGATGATGACGACGATGATGAGGATGATGATGATGACGACGATGATGACGATGATGATGAGGACGATGATGATAGTAGTGATGATGATGACGATGATGATAAGGATGATGATGATGATGATGATGAGGATGATGATTGTTGACCGTGAAAACTCGTGAACAGAAATAGGCCGGGTCACCTATAGGTATCCCGTTAGATTATCGGCTTGATATTGATTGTATGCCCAGTTTATGGAGTGAAGTGTTTGTAGTATTTTTTGAGTGGTCGGCAATATAAGAAAAATATGCTTAAAGTAGAAAAACACACAAAATTTATAGTGGTTCACTCTGTTAATGAAGAGCTACAGCCACTGTAGTTTTATATTCTTTTCGAGAGTGTTACAATTTACATCAATAGTTGCTCTCATTTTCTTCTCTCAGGAAAAAAAACCAACCTCCTCCCTATATAAGGCTTCGCCCCTTTTTATAGCCGAGCTTCCTTCGTCGGGTGGGTTTCCTTTGTAGGTAGAAGCACTTAAGTAGTCTGCCTTTCTAGGCCCAAACCGTAGCCCACTAATCACTTTTACGAACTGTTCACTCAGCCAATTAGTCTCCCATTACGGCTCTTGCGCACCTGTAACCCTTTTCTGTCCCCCGTAGGGCGGTTTTAGGGTTTGCAATTAATGCCTGTACTACAGACATCTCCCATTTCTGCATGCAACTTGCGATGTCAGGCTTTCCCCTCTTGGGGCATTCCTCTTGTCATCTCTATTTGCTCAGCCTAGTTTCTTGGCAATTGATTTCCTCCCGAAGGATTTCCGTCGTAAGGTCGTCGGTACGACCTGTCGTCGTCATGAGGAGTCAGCATCGAAGGTTGGGCTTCCTTTGCAGCAGAAGGAAAGGGAATCCCCATCGTCGAGGGTTGTTGCCTTTTGAGGGAAAGCAAGGCCACATGTCACATTGTTGTTTCTCCACGTGTCATCCACATTTTCCCACATAACAGCTGCCCCCCAGGTCGAGGGTTTCTTTTAGACAGCCTCGAGCTTAGGTTCAGTCGTACCTTCGTGCTTTGGGTGTGGGAACCTGGCCCTGAGCCTTCATCTGAAATGATGGCTTGCATGCTTTAGATTTTCTCAAGGAACGCAACCGTCGCGTCGGTCGCTTTCCCATGCTGACGTAAGGTTTTATTTTGAAAAGACGAATATGAGCCCTCGGATCATATCCCTTCATCTTCTTGCCTTCGTTTTGCTGTCGTTCGATCGGGGAAAACTGCCCCTGCCGTTGGATTTTCATGAGCTTCATCTGACGGTCAGGGGTCGAGGGCCTGTCTTCCTTTAAATATTCTTCGAACCGAAGCCATTCTTCTCCAAAAATTTTTAAAACTGCCATTGCTCTGCCTGAATTTCTCCTCATGACTTTCCGACTTGCGCTCCTTGCTTCTTTTGGTGCATCGTGAAGCTCATTGGTTTCCAGACTCCGACCAGACTCCAACCAGACTCCGACTCATCGGTAAGCTTTAATCATTGCTTATTTGCGTTGCTGGACGATTTTACTGACTTTCCTAGTGAATCATATGTATGTGTTGATATGCGAAATGTAGAGGATGATAGTAACTTACTATGCTTTATTTGACCTACGTAGGGTAGTTTTTTTTTGATTTCTAGTTGAATGTAAGTCTTTGGCTTTTGGGTTCTGATGAACCTTGGTTGTTACGAGCGCTCGCCGTTACCATTTTTATATGAATGGTCAGTGTTATGTTGAGGCAGTTCAGCAGTCGTTGTCTAGAATGGTCATCGCTTAGAGTGGTTGCCGTTTTCTCCTTCCTCTCGAGTTAGGATTTTGACGTAGCTCATTGTCTTTTTTGTTATCA